CCTCCAACTCTGCCCTTTGCTCTTCCTTCTGTCCTTCAGCCCCCTCTTCTACCTCACCTCTGCCATGCTCCCCTGTGCCTGGACCACCTTAGTCATGGAGTCCTTCAGCTGATCTAGTGCTTTCCTGCCTCTGGCTTTTGTACATGCTACTGCTTCTCCCTGGGACACTGTCTCCCAGTTCTTCCCGTGGTTCCTCCCTCCATCTCGTTCAGCCAGCCCCCTGTTCCCCTAGAGCCCCAGTTAATCTATCTCCATATTCTGCTTTATTTTTTGCCACAACAATTGTCACTCTCTGGTATTATATCATTGCTTATTTATTATCTGCCACCAGCTAGAGTATAATGAGGGCAGGGGCTTTATTGTCAGCTCTATCCTCGTGCCTGCAATGGTGAATCATTGATTGCAGTTTACTTTCTCGCTCAAAAGAAAGCACGTTTAATGGGGGGAAAGCAATGGGTTTAGAGTCAGGAAGTAAGGGTGGAGGTCCTAGCTTGCTGATAAATAGACTTTATGTCCCTAAGCAAGTTAGGTGGACTCTCTGGGCCTCGTTGTCCTCTTCTAAAATGGGGACAAGGATGCCTTGCACCAAAGGGGGCTAAGAAGATCAGGCAAGTCAGTGTAAGCATTTCACAATCTATAAAGCACTGTTCAAAGATAAAGGATTGGAACTATCACAAAAGTGAAGACTTTGATCAACACGTGAGGGGATAAAAGGAAAACAGTCAGAGATAGACAGGATCAGAGAGCCAGGCCACAGCCTCCTTTAGTGGGAGAAAATCTAGAAATGCTCTCTGGGAAGACAAAGCTTAACTTGTGCTTCTCATTCATCTTTTTCTTTAGGTATCATGCCTGCTAGATCTCTTGAGGAACAAGCTGACAAGACTTTAAGCCTGAAGGCATCAGGACAAAAAGAGCAGCAGTGGGAATCCATAAATAGGGTTCTTTGAACTGAATGAGGTCTTCCGCCCTGCAGCATTATGGCAGACTACATACTCGTAAGGGCCGACCCATGAGCTAACAACTAGATCCTAGATGAAACATACATCTTTTTTTTTTTTTTAAAGATTTTATTCATTTATTCATGAGAGGAAGCAGGAGCCTAGCACTTTCTAGGCGTTATGAATGACAGGCACTTGTTTTGTTTTTTTTTTTGGGGGGGACCCATAGGCAAGCAGAGAATCCAGCCCATTAAACACATCCTATTTCTACTTAGTGCTCAGAAAGCTGGTAAGAAGAGGGCTGCCTGGGCGCCACGGGGGCCAGCCTCCCCCTCTAGCAGAGGGTGCTTTAGCCAGTCTCTGTCCTCCCCCTCACAGAGGGACTTCAGGCTCTCTTAAAATTAAAATGGAAGGAGGCAAAGGCAGCCACAGCAGGTGGCAGGCTGCCAGCCCATATGGCCACCCTCTGAGGAGCGGAGTGTCTGTCACTGTGAAGAACAGAACAGAGCCACAGCAAGAGGCAGACATCTGGGTCCTAGCTTCCTCCCCCTGCTGAGCCTCAGTTTCCCCATCTGAGAAACAAAAGGGGTGGATGACCCCCTCTCCAAGGCTCCTCCCTGCTCTAATCCTTTGAGTCTAAATGGGAAGCAGTGGCCTGCTGATATCTGGCAAGATGGCAGACGCTGTGCAAGGGCATGGGAGGGGACGGAGGGTTGAGAGAAGAAAGAAGAAACTGACACTGGCCCTTAGCAAATCGGCCACAAATGACTGCTGTGAAGCTCCTCGCATTAGAACTCTCAGGAGTAATTAAAGCCCCCCACTATTGCTCAGAGAGGGTGAAACACAGAGGCGTGATGATTTGACTCAACTTCAGGGTGGGTGCTGGAGGCTCGGTAGGGTGGGTGCTGGAGGCTCGGTAGTGTGGGGTCTCCCTTTCTTTCTTGCTCCCTCCCCTCTTTCTCCTGGTTGCTCTCTCCCATATCCCTGGCTTCCCACATACTATTCCAGGCATCTGCTCCTAGTTTAGGAAACCCTTACCAGGAAAATTCTTGAGTTCTGCTCCATACACTCAGCCCCCTTGGATGAATCTCTGCAATCAGTTAGGCCCTTGCCCTCATTTTACAGATAAGGAAATGGGGGCCAGTGAGTTGAGGCAACTTGCCTAGGGTTACACAGCAGGTTAGGCTGGAACCCTGGTCTGCAGCTTCCCACCCCACCCTGAGCTCGACTGCAGTCAAGAGCGGGTGTCTACACACAGCTCGGTGTTCTAAACCACTGGAAATGAAGGCAGGGTCATTTCCGGGGGAAACTCATTTTTCTTCACCATTTTCACAAACGTCAGACCTGTGGTCCCCAGGTAGAGTGTGGCTAGCATGTTGGAGCGGGGGAGGCTGGGGTAGGAGGGCCAGGGCACTGGCCTATCCCTATCCCAGGGCACACTTGTTTCTTTAATCCTGGACCTGACGCCTATCCAGCATCTCCCAGTGCTCATGGATTTTGTATTTCTTGCCTACCTTTGTTTGAAACATGGGCTTGTCATATCGTTACAGAACAAAGACAGTATCTTTATCATATCTGACTTATAGCTTTCTATCTGAGTTCATCTCTTTATACATATCTGAGTTCATGTGCTCTCAGCCTCCTGTCTTCAGAGTCAGGAGTTAGGGTGGGTGCCCAGACATGCCACTCCCTAGCTTCTTGGACACTACCCCTAAACGACAAAGGGACTTCTGGGCCCACACACAGGTGCCAGGAGCTGCCCAGACTGGAGGTGGCCGTTGTAGTGGACTGAGCTGGAATAATTTTCAGATGTTGAAGGTCAGGGTATGAGGCTTTCTGGGTATGGGTTGGTTGCCCTTGGGTTCTTCAAGTCCTGTAGAACTTTCCATTTCAAATGATAAGAAAGTTGGTCAACCCTCCCTGTGCTCCCACTTCCTTCATGGTCCTCGGGGCACCCCAGACACATGGTTGTCGGAACAGGTGATGCACCCTGAATTCAGGGGCAGCAATGAAGGAAAACCGTCGGGTCAGAGTACACGGGACCAGATCCTTTCCAGACACTGCAAACAAGCCCAGAAAGCAATGTGTTACCGCCTGAGAGAAGTAACAGCCACGGGGCCAGTCCGGGGAGGTACAGGTGGAGGGGGAGAGCCCATGACCATTTCAGGAAGCTGGGAAAACCTGTATGCCTGTGAAAGAGACAAGCAAGAGAGGAGGATGTGTTAAAACGCAGTGTCAGTCAACACACAGGTTCTTCTTACTGAAAAGGAGAGTAGGGGGCGCCTGGGTGGCTCTGTTGGTTAAGCGCCTGACTTTGGCTTGCGTCGTGATCTTGGGGTCCTGGGATCCAGCCC